GGGGGGGGCAACCTGGGCCCGGGGGCCCCCCCCGGCCCCAGAAACCCTCCCGCCCGGCCCCCAAGCTCCTGGCCCGGGAGGCTAGCCCCCGGCCCCTCCCCTGCTGTCCCTCTCCCCCGCACTATTTCCCCTCTCCCCCCGCAGCCTCAGCTTGCTCGCTCTGCTGCTCTGGGCGGCGGGCTCCTGAGGCAACGCAGATGCAGAGCCCGGCCTGACCTGGTGCTCTGTGGTTGTGGTGGTGGCGGCGGCGTGGCCCGGCTCCAGCCAGGTGGCGCGGCTGTAGCACCATCAGCCACCGGTGCTCCAGTAAGGGGGCACCGAGCAGGGGGGTTGAATAGAGGGCAGGGGAGTTCGGGGTGGTGATAGGAGTTGGGGCGGTCAGGGGGGAACAGAGGGTTTAACGGTGGCAGGTGTCCCGGGGGGCAATCAGGAAGGAGGAGGGGTTGGATGGGAGGGCAGTCAGGGGCAGGGGTTCCAGGGGCAGTCAGGGGACAGGGAGAAGGGGTGGTTGAATGGGGGCAGCGGTTCTGGGGAGGCCGTCAGGAATGAGAGGAGGGTTTGGATGGGGTGGCAGGGGTCCAGGGGCGGTCAGGGGACAGTGAGAGGGTGTGTGTGTGTGTGGGCGAGGGGTCTCGGGGGGGGGCGTCAGGGAACAGGGGGAGTTGGATGGGGCAGGAGTCCCGGGGGGGCAGATAGGAGGTGGGGGCCAGGCCACGACCCCCTCCCCTAACCGGCCCTCCATACAATTTACAAAACCTGATGCAGCCCTCAGGCCAAAAAAAGTTTGCCCGCCCCTGCTGTACACAGTCACTGACCAATGGGACAGTTTTCATTGTCACTAAGTTACTATGGCCAACAAAAGGAGGAAGCTTTAGAAAAGGCACCAAGGACTCTGAAGAACCTTGGAAAAATTTACATGTTGAGCTAGAGAAGGGCCTATGAACACCTATCTCACAGTGAGCATGACGACAGGGGTTTATTTTAGGCCTGGGATAAAATTTTCAAGCGCACCCAAGTAACTTAGACACTTAGCAAATTTTATCCTTAGACTTTGGAAATGCATTTTGATTAATAATCCCAGTGTGGTAATCTGCTTGAGTTGTTTTGCAATTTCTTGTTGCTGTAAATTGCAGATCTTTTCCAGAACTGTTTGAAGTACTACATTTTGATTATTACATATAATCGGTGAAATATGTTCGCAGTCTATTGAACTTGATGCTAAAAAATATTTAGGATTCTTCCTTTATTAAAAAAAAAATCAAAGAAACGTACAGATTGTGGTATAGAAAACAGATACTTTCCCCTCTCACTTTGACAGATACCAGTAGTGGTGGATACTGAGTAGAGCTGGTCAGAAAGCGAGCCTGCTTCCCCCAACCCGCACCGAAGACAAATTTCTACAGAAACTAAAAAACAAAAAACAACAACAACAACAAAAGAATTGTTTTCAAAGCTTTCCATGGAAATTTCATCTTTTAGTTGAAAAGAATCTAGCTCAAAGATGATAAAGGCTCTTAGACTGTAAAGGAAATCAGTCCAAACGTGGCAAGGAGGAGTTATGAAAATGTCTTGCTTGTGCTTTTTCAGCCTGTATTGATAGTGTTTTTGTTGATCTGGTTAACAAAATTTACCCAAGATATTTTTAATCCATTTTCCCCACCATAATTTATGCTCTTCCAAGTGTCCCACCTTGTATATAGGGGGTTTTTAAGTGAGAAAAAAACCGTTATCTTGAACACATGGAGCAAGTGTCCAATCTTTCCTCTCCACTAACACAATCAAGAGAAAGGTGCTCATTAATAGAAGCTAGGTCTTTTGTGGACAGTCTGTAGGGAGCTGGAGCAGCTGGCAGAATTAGATGTCAGCAAAGAAACGTGAATATTGATTAATCCCATAAAGTGCACAAGAATTCCTCTCTCTCTCTCTCTTTGGCTGATTCTGTATCAACACCTTGCAAGCACATACACCATCGAACCTGAAGGTTGTGGTTTTACCCATTTGTACTTATTTTCTGTGTTGGAGCAGTAGAAAGAACAGAGCAGGTCAGTGGTTGTGGTTGTGGTTGAAGGTCTGCATTTGCCCTAGTGCAGGAAAGAAGCAGTGATTTTAAATTTAGATGATAATAATACATTCCCAGTGACAAAACAATGTGCAAAACTGTTCTGGTATCTTGCTTGCTTGAAGCACAGAGCTGTGCAGCTGTTCAGAGGGCGTCTTCCTTTTTTTCTGCTTCTTTGCTCTAATGCTGGAGCATCTGCCTTTCCAAAACATTTTAATGCCGAGTCCCCCTAACGAAGATTGGAAGAGGAAAGCAAAGCTTTGTTTGCCTACATTGCAGGGAGCTTGTGAAGATTGCATGGGGAGTATGATCAAATTTAAGTATTCTAGGGGAAAAAAAACAAGCATGATGCCTTGAGCGGGCTTTCACTATAATTTAGGTTAGAATCCTTTCAAACAGTGGCTGCAGCAGTTTGCTGACAGTGCTATAAACCAAAATTGCCTAGGGAGAAGGGAATCACGGGTTTAACGTGGGAGCTGAGTAACAGCTACTGTGGGGTTGACAGAGGTACCTTAGTGAGCTATAATATACGCAGGGAGTATGGTTTCAGCACTAAGATGGTTCTGGGCCTTTCAGTACCCTCCTTTTTTGCTTCAACGTCTCCAGTTAAAAAGCTTTGTGGAATAAACAGTGACTTTCAGCTTCTTCTACAGGAAAGAGAAACTTGCAGGATGAAGACAAGTTGACTTACAGATTTTCATCAGGTCCTCCATTTAGAAAAGCAAGCTTGATTTTGAACATTGCATAGGATTTTACAATCACACACAGGATACTATAAATGATCCAGGCAGCTGTCAGCAAGGACGTGATTTTCCTGGTTAAAATAGGAAATGCATTCATTCTTTGTACATCATGTAAACAGAATCCGTCTAGACCCTGAAGGGGTCTGCCCTTATATTTTTATGTGACCTGAAAAGAAGAGGTGAAGAAATTTCAAGTGATAACAATAAGAAAGGCTGAAAGGAAACTAATCATTTTCTTCCTTGGATCAAGCTGCTGCATTCAATGTGCTCTGAGCAAGAGGCAGCACTCAGGGGTGAGTAACAAGGAATGCAAGAAATGAAAGGAAGGTCACTAAATGTTTACTCCATGTTATTGGTGCCATTTCTTTTAAAGATACCATAGATTCTTTTGTAAATATGCTAGCCTAGGCTAATCAGCAGTTTTAATGGAGGTGGACATTGTAGAAATACTCAAGATTTTAGATTACATATTTTATCCTTGGTGTCTATGCTTTTGTTTACACGTTCAATAGAAATTGTCAGACAATGTACTATACCTGGGGGTGTGGAGCTCGCTTTTAGTGATTTTTTTTTAAAAGCATCCATAAGCAATTTGGAATATTGACTTGATGTGTCACTTGTTCTGATATTTTCCTTACCAGTAGAGCTCAGAGGAGATAGAAGAGACCTATTAGGTTATTCTGCCCATCCCCCTGCTAATAATTCAAGATTGTTCTTCTCAGCTTGTGCTGCACAAGTAAAGAAAGGTTTTTTAGTCAAAGAATGTTTCTCTCCAAAACTGCAAATATCTAAGGTGTTAGATTCATTGTGGAACTGTTTGTTGCATGTGTTTGGCTTCACTGTTATTGGCCAGACAGCAAAAACAGTGCATCTTCAAAGTTACAGTGCAGACCGCCTCTGCACAAGGAACACTGATTTACTGATATTTGGGAAATCAAGTTCTTTCAGATACAAGTGTTGCCGGGCTTTTCAGTTCAGTGTTGTGTCAGTGTAGCACTGAGCAGCAAGCTTCTCGATTTGGAGCATTGATGGGGAAGGGGTTGCCTGATTTCCAGCATCAGTCCTCTTATTTCTCAGAAAAACCTTTAAATGTATGTAGCGTCATGTAGCAGTTGTCCAGCATTTGCGTGAATGCATTTTGCATAGTGTTGTAAGGATGAAGCATTAAAATGATGACATTCAGTAACAAAGCTAATGAGACACCTGTTCAATCCAAACCTAGAAAAACAAAGGAATTTCCTATACTGTCCATGCAGACCTTTTCATTTGCATATGATGAAGTGTTGAGACCTTCAATAGGAGTATTTATCATTTGGACACACGATGTTGAAATCAACCACCAATAAAATGAAATGCACACACTAAAAAAAGAAATTGATTCTTTCCCACCCCCACTCCTCTGAGATTCATCTGGTATATGAAAAGCTGTTCTGAAATCTGTCTGTGGCTTCCACGCACATGCAGAGCAAAGAGAAGCTGAAGATGTTTTACTTAAATAACTATTCTTTCTGACCTTTTCTAAAGAACACTTAGTGCCGTACTTTGAGAATACATCACACAGTCTTATATAAGTATGTATTACACACAAATGTACAGGCAACCTTGATTTTGAGACCTTAATGAACTTTTAACAGTATTTTTGTGTTTAAATTCCTCGGTTTATAAAAAAGCAAATTAAAATTCATATTTCATCATGTGGTATCATATTGACATCCACATGAGTTGTCAGCCTGGTTGGAAACTTTAGCTTGTCCTCACAGGCCTGAGTCACTTGAGCTAACGGAGGAACCAATAGCAGTAGTAGGTTGTCATTCTATATGCGAGCCAGCACCAGAGGGGCGATGGGACACATTTTGCTGGTCAGTTTCACGGCATTCGCTGACATTAGAGAAATGGTGAAACTCTGGAATCTTGGGTTCCATTCCTGACTGGAGAGGGGTGTGCACCAGTGGGAACAGACTCTTGTTCTCTCCAAGCTTGACCCCCTTTGCCCCATCCCCTCCAGCCCGTCTGCCCCCGTCCTGTCTCTTCCCCACTCCAGGGTCTATGTCTCCCTGTCCCGCCCTCCTTGCCTTTCCAGTTTCCACTCCTCAGGCTTCTCATCCCAATCCCCTTGCCTAGCCCAATGCTAGTCTCCTCCTCTGGGATCACTGTCTGAGAACCAATCTTCTCCCCTCCCCACACTCAGTCCCAATCTCCTTGTCTAGATCATCCGCTGCCATACCCCGGTTCTTTGTAGGATCCATCGCTTCTCCCCTCTCCCCATTTCCCCCAAAATTGTATGTAGTCTCTCTCTTTCCCTTCCCCCCAGCACATCATCCAAACTCAGCATCATCCTCACAAGCCAACTGGCTCCCAGTCCCTGCCCCCGATTTCCTGCACCAGCTCCCAGTCTCCCCCTTCTACAGCTTCTGGTGCCAGTCTGTTTGCTCAGCAAGTCCCAGTCTCCCCCTCCAACTCCCGGTCAGTTCCCTCCCCCAATACCAGTCTCACCAGTCCCACCCTGGCCAGGAGCCATTGGGAGCATCCACTCCAAGGAAAGTCCTTCTAGCCTTGGGCTGAAGCATGCATGAGTTGCTTTATGGGGATGATAGACTATCGAAGCTGTCTGGTCAGCATTAGAAGCTGTGAGAGGCTCAAACACGCTCAGTGAAGGCACAATCTTCAGAGATTTTAGCTGCTTAAATTGAGCAGTCTGGACATGTGCAAACTGCAGTTTTCCAAGGCTTAGAACCTGGCCACATTTGGGCAGATTTTCACAGGGATGGCAAAAGGACATCCTCCTAGCAAACTGAGAGTCCCTGCTCCAGAGCATGGGGGTGCTAAGTAGTGGTTCTCAAACTTTTGTACTGGTGATCCCTGTCACATAGCAAGCCTCTGAGTGTGACCCCCCCTTATAAATTAAGAACACTTTTAAATATATTTAACACCTTTATAAATGCTGGAGGCAAAACGGGGTTTGGGGTGGAAGCTGACAGCTCGCGACCCCCCATGTAATAACCTCGCGACCCCCCATGTAATAACCTCGCGACCCCCTGAGGGATCCCATCCCCCAGTTTGAGAGCCCCTGTGCTAGAGCATTTCAAAGAAAAAGGTTGCCAGAGTGCATGCTTATTTTCACATGGGCAAAAAGTATTTTCCCTAGTCTCATCTTCAGATGGCTGATCCATTTTGGCTGAAATTCCACCACCACCCCACCCCCAAAAAAAGACAAACACCAGTCTGAGACAGATACCGGGGTAAGGAAAATTTCAGCCCAAATTATTAAAGTTTGCTAAAATTATAAGCAGCTGAAAATAGGGTCTTATCATGGGAAGTCTGAGGCAACCTTCATAGGTGATGTGACCAGCCCCATCTATAGTATACATTCTGTGCAGCCAGAACTGTAGGTTTGCATGCCAAAGGGTAAAGTACGGTTTCAGTGGTTCTGGTGGAGAGCTTCTTGGTTACAAAGGTAAATATAGATGAGACAGTGCAGGCCTCATTAACAAGCAATTGAAGGTTTCAAAATTAGAGTTTTAGTGCATAGTCAATATGCATAACAAATACAGCTGGTAGTCATGTTAATCCACATCCTATCATATGTTCTGATGGCTCTGCTGCAAGCATTATGGTTCGTGCTAGAAATGTATATTAAGAATAATATAGCAGAGGCCAATACATCAATTAATCTATTTGCACTCAACTCTGCAGAAGTCTTACACCTCACAGGATCAGAAGGAAATTTCTCTCCCCTTATGTAAATAGTTATCATGATAATCACATGGTCTTCCTTAACAAAAGGTCGGAGTTTCAGTTGGGTCTCTTCACCTCCACCTGCTTTGCTGTGAGTGAGCAAGCAGTGATTTGACACATACCTTAACGTGGGTAAGAGATTTTCAGCTTTGCCTTAGAATTTTCTTGCCTTGTGGTTTTGAGCCAGACACTTAACATAGATTTTTGTGGTTTATAGAGTTAGTGATGGTGAATAGCTGGTTGGAGAAGGAAAAGATCTGCTAACCTGAAGGATATAAATGCCTCTCTTAATGAATGGGCACTGTGAAATCTAACTAACAGACTGTGTTGTGTTTTATGGAAATCCCAGAGGCCCTGGTGGTAAATTGGGTTAGTTCGTTATTTAATTTGTAGCTAGAATCAGTTCACATTTTGTTATTTTGATTTATTTTTTATTTTTGAATTCTAAGCACAATTTTTGTGTGTGTGTGTGTGGAGAGGGAAGGCAGTGGCAGGGGGAAAGGACTTGGCAATGGTAATGAGAGTCTCCTGCCCTCACTTTTTGTTGTAGGAAAGACAGTCTTCTGCTTTCCTCTGAAGCAGCTGGTAGCCACAGCTGGAGAAAGGAGACTAGATGGACCACTAGTCTGATCCAGTCTGGCAAGTCTTTTTCAAAAGCAGCAAGGTAGAATGAAGGAATCTGTCCTCATTAAAATATTCAGTATGGAACTTGGCATCTGAGTTAGAGAGAGGTAGGCTTCTACCACCTTTTTACCCAACTTCAGATTCCTTGAGAACACACATCCTGTGAGTGAAGGCTTAACGGATGCCTAGATCTTATGCGAGGCCTCCACAGCTTCTTCTGCAATGCACAAGGACTGCTGTCTCACACACACACACACACACACACACGCTTTTAGAAAGTTCAGGATACCAAGTCAATGCATCGCCATCTGAGCAGAAAGCACAAGAGTGAAGTGAATACCTTCACTCGTAGATTCCCCCTTCTCTTCTGCCCATAGCACAAAGCTTGGCTTCATTTTATACAGAGCGCTCAGGAGTAACATCTCAACATCGATTGTAATAATGCATTCACGAAACAGGCAAATACACCAAACATGAGTACTGTACTGGTACTTTCTTACAGTACTTCCCCCTTGCTTCCCAACTTCAGTCCACGTTAATACTCTCTGGAGTAGATAAGCCATGGAGTGAGTGTTGGGTACAACAAGTTCTGTCTATAGTGATGTTTTTAAGAGTCCCCGATTTCTTTGATTCACGATGATGGTACATCTCTTTGAGGCATGGAAAAGACTATAAGATCAGCTTAGGACCTGCCCCATAAAGATTGCTCTTTGAAGTACTTTATTTTCTCTGACAGGAGCAATGTCTTGTAGTTCAAACACTGAACTAGGATGCAGGAGATCTGGGTTCGCTACCTAGCTCGGCAAAACATCTTGTAACACCTTGAATAAGTTATGAAGTCTGTGCCTCAGTTTCCCCTACTAATAAAATGGCAATACTAGGCTATCTGCCACCCTTTTATTTGACTGGCCAATTTAGATTGTAATTACTTGAG